AGTCACATTTTGCAAAGTTGAAAATTGTGTACCGGATAATAAAGTAACTTCTGTAAGATTTCGTTGTTGTTGTTATCAATATATTCTAAAGCTATCTCCTCAAATAAGATCAGTGCTTTACATTATATATCCATGGCTGAAGTCACCTTTCACAATATCTGCACAATGACAAGCAGAGCCTATAGCCCACAAATATAAAGGTCAGTTCTAATACAGAATTCAACTCAGCCTGTGTGAAGTCAATGCCAAGTTCCTGTTCTTCTTTGAATAATAAAAATTAACAGTAAGAAATACACAAAAACATCATAAGATATATGCTTCTTTATTATTATGTAAGACACTTTTTAATATAAAAGCAATTGGATGGAATGTGTAATGCTATGAAATTAGTCATTCATAGCAAATAGACTTGTGGATCTTCCACAGAGAACTGATAGATGGCATTAATGTTCTTGACAAATTCCTCTTCAAGTTTAAAAGGTGAATTTTCTAATTTTTCTTCCTTTTTTAAAACCCCTTCCCAAAGAAGTAAACTTAAAGTTGTTCAGGAGCATAATTCAATCTTCCCAGGTTTCTCTAAAAATTTAACAGGAAAAAAATGTGACACATAAATGTCATTTATTGAAAGTGCTTACTTTTAGACAAACATACTGCATTTTGAAATGCAGTATATTTGTAAGCACATTCAGTATATGCTTCATTTAAATATTTTAATGAAATCATTAATAATGAACTAAAATATTTTCTCCAATAGATTCTTCCATGGGATTCAGGGTGCATATCAGTGGAAGTTCTTCTCTCTTGCTCAGTTTATGGGATGCTTTAGTTCCTTTTAAGTACCTACTTTTCAAAAACTAAATTAGAACAAATGCTTTAAGTTTTACTGTTCTTTTCCTAACTAGTTCCACCAATTCTACCATGGAAGTGGAAGTGAAAACTAATTCATTAACAGAAAAAAATCCTTCAATATTAGGAATCTGCATCATACCATATTAGCCCTATGCTATCAGTAGACAAATGTAGCTCATTCAAGACTCAAGAAGAGACAATAGAGGTAGAGAGAGGACATTTTGAAAGTATCACTGCACTGCTCACCTCCCTCAAAATTTCAAATGCAAACTCTGAATTCAAAAGCAGATTAATGAGCTATTAACAGTAATAGCAATCAATAGTTTCTCCTTTCTTTCCCCCACTATGTGTGTGCACATATATATATATACATATATATATATATATATANTATATATATACATATATATATATATATATATATATATATATATATATATATATATATATATATATATATAGCTTCTATGTTCTTAGAGAGATTTATTTGATTAATTCATCATTACTGCTATGGTGGATAATATGCATTTACTAGGAAATAGCTGAAGCCCTAGCTTTTAAGACAGTAATGAATTATTACAGATAATGGGAATTGCATTCAAGTAACAGAACGATAAACAGGTTGTTCTGTGTGGTGTGTTTAATTATTTTTAATTTAAGATTCATGGCCAATTTCACATTGTATGTTTTCTAGACATAATACTTATTAGCCTCCTGAAGTAGAAAAAGTGTGAGCTTTAGAGTGGACTCTCAGGAGAACAGCAATCTGTCTCAGGCCCCAATCCAGTGATACACAGAGGGTACAGGTGGCTGACAGGATTTCTGTACTAATGAGCTCCTGGAATGCCTCAAAACCTACAGAAATGGCTTTAAATTGTTATCATGTTAGGGATGAACACAATGCCAGACAATGTACTTTATTTTCCCAGATGACAAAGACCACTCCATTTTAACTAATCTGTACCCATAAACCTGTTATGTTAATTAAAATGCCTGTTTATTTGTGTGTGTGTAGTTTCTGTTTTGTTTTGTTTTACCTGACAAGAGAGTTCCAAACTTGAAGGGAAAAAAATGTCAGGATCCAGAAGAGGTAAGATGTTAATGTGAAAAAACTAATTTCTGTTTATTTTCTGTGCGTATCTCCTGTTACTACAGGGGCAAATACGGTGTGCAATCCTTAAGAATGGTGTAGAGCTGAGTGAGGCTTACCAGGGGAGCTGCAGAGCGCTTGGGGATATTAAATTAAATTTCGAGGAATTAAAACATCCCCTGGAATTAGCTAAATATACCAAATGACAGAATAATATTTGTGAAAGATTAACCAATGTTTTTCCTATATCCTTTGTTCATATTTGAATGCATAGCAATTTGTGTTTTTACTGCCTCTGCATGTGTGTGTAACAAAAGAATGCAGGATAAAGGAAGGCTCTTCCTTGCTTTTGAGTCTCAAAAGCTTAGGGACCACAGAAGTTATAAATAAAAATTTGGAGAAAACCTCATGTCTAAGAGCAAGGCCTTTACCACTTCTTCAACTTGAATAACACAGTAACAACAGCAAAAATTCCTCTTATGAGTTAAGGAAGTTTGAGTAAAGAGTATAATGGGAGTTGATGTCAGTAGATTCCAGAAGTCCACATAGGTTCAGAACATGAGACAGTGTCTGAAGGGAAATAAATAGAGAAGCATCAGCATAGAAGCCTAGGGAAGACAGGAGACAGCAGAAGGATACATGAGAACTGTCTACATCAACGTGGACAAACAAGGGCCAGGTCAAATAATTGGAGAAACAGGGTTTTGCTGATGCCACATTCCTCTAAATCCAGCCTAACCTGTACTCAATCACATATTTACCTATCGTCTTCTTAAACTATTTGGTCATAAATTTGGTTACTCTTAACTGGAGAGTGGAGTAACCACCCTACTGGAGATAAGAATTACACAACAACTTCTAAGTAGTAATAGTTGAGAAATATCTGAGTTTGGCCGGGCATGGTGGCTCACATCTGTAATCCCAGCATTTTGGAAGGCTGAGGCAGGTGGATCACTTGAGGCCAGGAGTTTGATACCAGCCTGGCCAACATGGTAAAACCCTATCTCTACTAAAAAGATGAAAATTAACCACGCATAGTGGCGCACACCTGTAATCCCAGCTACTCAGGAGGCTGAGGAAGAAGAATAACTTGAACCTGGGAGACAGAGGCTGTAGTGAGCCAAGATTGTGCCACTGCACTCCAGCCTGGGTGACAGAGTGAAATTCTGCCTCAAAAAAAAAAAAAAAAAAAAAAAAAAAAGGAAAAATCTGAGTTTTCCTAGAGTCATGTTTTATATCACTATAAAACTTTATAGGCCAGGCCCAGTGGCTCACGCCTGTAATCTGAGCACTTTGCCAGGCCAAGATGAAACATTGCTTGAGGCCAGGAGCTCAAGACCAGCCTGGGCCATAACATGATACTCTTTCCTTTATGAAAAAAGATTTTAAGTTTCTAGCGTGTAATGGCATGCACCTGTGTTCCCAGCTACTCTTGGAAGGGTGAGGCAGTAGGATCACTTGAGCTCAGGAGTTTGAGGTTCCAGTGAACTATGATTGCACTACTGAACTCCAGCCTGGGCAACAGAGTGAGACTATGTCTCAAAAAAATGTGTATATAGAACCCACACTGAAAAATTACATCATATGCCAAAATCTAGTGGACAAAACATAAGGATTTGTAAGGTAACTTAACGCAGGAATGACTGATATTCAGTGTACGCAGCTTTGATACTTTATAATTTTAACACTTTCCTTGAATTGAATTCCATAAATTACCTTAATATATGAGAATATGTTCAAGTAGGCTTTTAAATATTTCACTTTAGTCACAATTACTAATAAAAAAGTGACCATAAAAAGTCTTTTTTGTTTGTTTGTCCTTTCATCTCAAGCTTTTGCCTTGTTTTTATCTATTCTAATCTCTTTCACCCTGGAAGGTTCTTCTCTATCCACAGCTTTTTGAGCAAACAGGTTAGCAAGGCATTAAAGAATAGGGCTCAGGTAAGAGACAAGAAGCCTGTAGTCTGATTGGCCTGCACTTAGTGTTTTCTGGGTTCGCTCTGTTGCAGCTCATTCAGTTGTTGACATCATCTATGTTGCATCTCAAACACAGTAGAAACAGAAGGTAGACAAAAAAGAATATATTTACTTTGAAATGTAATAACTAAATGCAGTTTTTATTAGATTTTAGCTTCTGAACAAAAACCTGATATTCAATGGAAAAGAAGGCATTTGTTCACTATTAATTGATTATGACCTGCTAACACCACTGAGTCAATTTCACCATCAGATTCTCAAGCTTTATGTAATTTCTGATGGTGAATTCGCTGGTCCCTGAATGATTTCCAGGCACTTGTCTCCTGATATGTATCTTCATTTATCTTTGTTTCTCTCTCTCTTTTTTTTAAGCACCAACATTTAGTTCTTTGAGGATATATATATTTTTTAATTTCTTATTTTTCAGTGACCTTAGCTTTCTCCCCTGAGTGGGCATTTTTTTTTAATTGGATTTTTTTTCTGATAAATTTTTAAACAGTTTCCCTCCTTTCCAGAGCTTTTTACTTCTCCCTTGGTGTTGACTTTCCTTTTGTTTGGTGTTTGGTGGGGACAATGGTAAATAGTAGAGGTCTGGGGCCACTTTCATTGTTATGGAGGTGAGAAGAAGAAAGAAAACTTGGTTCTAATGGCAGGGAAAATATTCAAGTTGAAACCTCACAGTGTCTGCTTTGCCACCCTCCCTACTGGGTTCCAATGAACTCAAAGTACTTTTACTTTTTTTTCTGTAGCACTGTTTATAAGGCATCAAGGAAATGACGTTAGCCCTCTGCCAGTAGCAACAATCTTTAAATACACGTGTAACCAGAATGAGCTGGCTTCTACCCCTGAAAAAAGGCTTCTTTGCATGTGCTCTGCATCATAATATTTATTAATGCTGTCATAATTTATTCCTTTATTGCTTCATGCATACTTACATTATAATTTTCAAAAAAGTTTATGTTGAGAAAGTCACCGATGGCTTTATTATTTGCATGCCAGTTCTTTAAAATGCACTTCCATTGCATGATTCATTTTAAAATGAGTTTTTGTACTTTCTTATAGTGAAAACAAATAAAACTTTCCAAGCTGCGCCTCCAAGGAAGAAAGTCCAACCATCAAGCTTGAGAAAACTATTCGCCTCCCCTTCACTAAGATTTTCCAGGGGCAGAGAGAATCTGGAAGGAATACAATGCCTTTAAATCTTTTAAGCTTAGAGGCTTACCAAAGAAATGGGTACCCAGTGATAGAAGAGGTATAGACAGTGCTTTTAAACAGGTAGTTATATCTAATGGTTTACTTAAGACTCATACACTTAATGCTACTACACATGACTTGTGAAAATCTATCATATTTGTTAAGATGTTAATTTTATTCAGTAATCCTGTGTGATCTCAAGAAGATAATGTCCTAAAAGTAAAGGTGGGTGCTTTCCAACTAGTTTAACTTGACTCTGTCTATGTTGAAAAAATCAAAGACGACCTCAAAAACTTTCATGTAGCCATAAATATTTGTGAAGAGAACAGTGTACTGAAGGAGTTAGGTACAAAGTTATTGGAATACAATAAACCTCATGCTGAACTCCAGCACCTCCACCTATTAAAAATGGAAACTTGGGTAAGTGGTTTTATCTGTTTTTAACCTCAATTTCTGTGGCCACATAGTTGCTCTAAGGATTAAATAAAATCATTTTTAAGTGCATAACACTTTATTTGTATCCATTAAAAGGAAATTATTTTAATTCCTCCTATTATGATTATTCTGATAATGTGGTTTACTATAATTATTATATGCATCCTATCAAATGGTTTTGTTGCCTTGTGTCTTTTTTTGACCCAGGATTGCTAAAAATTAATAGGGCAGGAACTTGGCAAAATCATAACATTAACATAAAATGTTCATCATATTTTATTGTATTTTCTTTCTGTTTTATTTTTCAACCACTCCTATCACTGCAACACAAACACTAAAAATTATCTAAACTATTTACACAAGTTTATTTTGCTTAAGAGTGAAGATAAGACCCACTTCCTACTCCCCCACCCATCTCTTTGTTCTATGGATTCAGCTTTTTCTCAATTTAAAAAGCAATCTTTAATTATATGATTAGATAGATGGCCTATAAGGTAAGTTTGGGGCCCTTACATTCAAACTGTCTTGGCAATCAAAGACCCTTTTCTGTTTTCCTAAAAGAATGGACTGAAAAGGAAAGTATGAACAAAGATAATTTTTTTCTCACAAATTCTCTGCTCTGAAGTACCCTGGCACTCTGCTCAGTACCGTTAAAAGCGAAAGTGATTGTGATGGGATCACTTAAATTTAATACCGTAGCGATCTGCTTTCTAGATTAAAGCGAACATTAGTCAGGGTGTGGTCCTGACATAACTGTGATATAGATCACTTTTAATTCTCTTCTCCTATGACAACTCTTTCTTTCTCTTTACTTCTCACCAACAATCCTGATCCTTTCCCTGTCCCCAAGGTGCACAAGTCTCCCACTTCAACGTGCTATTCACCTCTCATAGCACCTAACCCCCTAATTTGTCATTTTTCTTCTCCTATATCTTACGCAATCCAAGAAGGGCACATTTCCTCAAGGATATGTTTTAATTTGTACCAAGGTCTTAGTGAATCAATAACTAATATTTCCCATTTCAAGAAAACTTTGTCATCCTAGCAGTGTCTCTGAGTGGGAATTTCAAATATATGGGAGAAGAATAAAGATCTGGGATAGATACTTTTCAGAAATATTTATTTATCCAAGAATTTTTTCAAATACATTGTAATTGAGTATCTAAGGTTTAACAATGCCAGTAGAACAACAATAAAGAGTCAGCGAACCCAAGCTCTAGCAATGCAGTGAGCTAACACTAGAAAGGGAAACAGTTTTTATGTTGCGCAAAGAGATCCGTAGAGAGCGATTTTAGTCAAGCAGAAAAATCTAGCCCACTGAAAAGATTTGCCAAAACCTTTATATCTATCTATCTATCTATCTATCTATCTATCTATCTATCTATCTGACTGGATGTGTGTGTGTGCGTGTGTGTCCTGCATGTGTGTGTTTGTGTGTAGTCTTGTTCATTACTTCTAAAGAAAAAAATATGAAAATATACTGACCCTGAAACCTCTTTGGAAATGTGTTCATACTACGAAAGCAGGAAAGTACATGCCTAAACATTTGACCATTGGATGAATATCTTCATAACTCTTTAGGAAATAATTATCTTTTCATTCAATCAAATGCCTTGCAGACATCTTTAAGGCCTTATTAAAGCCCATTTAAAAGGAAAAATACACACATTACACAAATTAAGGAAAATGCTTGGAGGTATTCATTCCATATTAGAATATCATTGTCACACTTTGTAAGTATCAAGAACAGTTTATCTTCATGATCCTTTCAGAATTACCCACACTCCTCAGGCAATGACATTTTAAAGAGGATTTGGCTGAGAATAAAAGGCTTTTGATGAAAGAAATTAATTTATGTCAGAACTGCACTATTCCAAAAATAGTTATCTGGGAAGTTACATTGTTTTGTCACTGATATTAGCCTTGGCGCAAATGGAAGCTTGCCTTTGGGGCCTTTATATCCCAACATTCTAAGTGAGCATAAAAGTATAAGAAATTTGCTCCAATAAAAAATTCTGGATAATTATTATAATTTATTATGTTAATGAAAAAATGGATTATATTGTTTTCTATTTTTAAAACACGGTAGACTATATTTGAGATGAAAAAACTTTAGTTATCACCTCATCCAGTACCTTTCTTTACAAATTGGGACCACCAAAGATACCGGACTTACTCTTTTTCACATAGCGTATCTCAGAGCCATAATAAAGAGTCTTAATCCACTTTTTCTACTGTCCATGGTGCTAACCTCATTGTCTTTGATTTATCTTTTCATATTACCATATGAGTATTACAGCAAAATAAATATAGATAATGCATAAATAATAAAATACCATATTATTTATAGAATTATATTATTGAATAATACATTATAATGTTATAGCATTTATATCATATAAATAACTTAAAATAAATAAAACAAATAATAAAAAGGAAATTGAAAAAACTATTATGTTCATGTCTGAATAAAGATCAGATAAAGAGAAATTTGTGGTCAAGGATTATATTCCTCATGTTTATTTTTAGCGTTTTACCAGTTATTGGTTTTTAACTTGCAAATACACTTAGATAATTATCCTATGTGAAAGTTGGTGCTCCAGATTTTTAAATACGCCACCCCAAAATTTATGGCTTCAACAAATGCTAATTTGTTTTGCACACAACATGTAGATTGGTCAGGGCTCAAGCTGGACAGCTGACCACTTTTCATGAATATATTTTACTTTCTGTATACAATTTTGTAGCAAACATGTATGAAATAAGAATCTAATAGTATTAAAAAGTGCTGATTTAATATATTAATAATTAATTAATGTGTCCAGGAAATCACAGAAGGGGTTAATCACTAGTGAATAGGAATTATGTAATTCCTTAAAAGGCCTCTTAAGTTATTTACAATACGCATTTATTTTGTCAGACAAAGATGGAAGCACAAGTCACAAAAATAAATGTATAGACTTATTCAATTTCCTGGCGTATTACCTCCTACATCAGCATAACCTTGGAAATGTACAGGGCATTCAGTAGTTTTTACTTGATTAACAAGAGACTATAGACTTCAAGTTAGGTCTGCTTTCACTGGCACAGCAGAGGGTAACTAGTATATAGTATAGAGACAGGAGAACAAGCTGAGAACAACTGCTATACAGCATAGAATTTGCTAATGAGCTACTATGACTTTAAACTTCACATTTTTCTGTTACTTTGATTTACAGAGTGAAGTAGAATGGGAGTTGTGGACATCCAAAGCCTCAGAATGTTAGGATGGGTTTTCAAGAAACTGTCATTACTACCTCAATAATACAGAAACCATACTATATGTCAAATTCTCCCAGTGAGTGTTGTCCACTCTTCCTGAGTGCTGTCTGCATATACTCTTGACTGAGGGGTCAACAAAACAACAGCAGCAGCAGCAGTAGCAGCATCAATAACAAGAACTACAAAGACAGCATCAAAAACTATTCATTTCTCAGTGACTTTTCTGCCAATAAACAAATGCATAATATTGATCACAATGGAAATGATTTGTTAATAGCAATCATCAAAGACTTTTGCCTGACAAAAATGTGTCATGAACATTTAAAAGCTAAAAATATTCATGCTTTTTGGTGCTTAAATCACTTACTTTCTTAATATTTTATCTGGAAGTGATATTCCTAAGAAAATAAATTCAACTTAATTTTGTTCTACCATCAGGCGCATGATTTCAGTATGAGGGCCACACCATCTGGCTTCTATTTTCACAGGACACTAGAACTGTCTTCTTACTTCATTCCAAATATTTAGTTTAATTCTCATAGTAGCCTATTACATGTCACCCCTAGACTTCTATAGAAATTTCTGTTTGAGACTGCTCAATTTCAATTGACATTGAGCATTAATTTCAATTGACATTTTGTCTAACAAAAATGATAAAAAACAAAACTTCAATGACGATTTCAAACCTTGTTTTCATTTGTTGTTTCTGTGTGCATATTTGTATCAACTAAATGGGCTAGTCTATCTAGTGAAAAGGGTAAAATTACTTAATTTACACAAACTCAATTTACCTTCAGGGGCATAAAACAAAACATCAAATGAGGGAAGCAAGAAAAGTACATAAATACATTTGACAAGTTGGCCAAAGCCCATTTATCATCTTGAGAAATGAAGTCACATGATTTATAATGCAGTAAGCATTTCAAAATGTGACTTGTAATTGTCTTAAAATCAACAATGTATTCTATTCTGACTATATTAATTGGAAAACAAATCAAAATACAGCAAATTTATTTTCTAATAATTATACTTATGCAGGATTTGAAATTTAAATTTGGAAGTAAAGAAAAAAGCCGTTTTAAAGAATTGTAATTGAAAAGAATGCTTACTACTATCAATTTTTATTGAAACTTTACACATTCTTCAAACACTGAGTTTGATGAGATAGAGTGCAAATGTTGATACCCTGAGAGATAAACAGCTCTATATTAAAAATTAGGAACAAAGAACTTCATACATGAGACTGGATAACCTCATTACTTTTATTTTTTAAAAAGTTTGCGTATCTGCAAATAAAATATTCTCTGAAGAGGAATAACTGCATACATTCACCCCAGTTTCATTCTTTAATGGCCTTTTTTC